ATGATATCATATACACAAAGTTGATGTACAATCTATTTTATATGAAATTGGAAATTTGTACACCCTACCCTTAAACTATATATATTTATTTATATTGATCAGTTGTCTGCACAACAATTTCTTATTCGCACCGGTTCCTGTTCTCTTGACCACGTGAATCTTGACGTTAATACTTATAATCACATCGAATTGTTCATGATAAATTTAATATATCAAATGGAAAGAAAAAAGAAACTGGTTTGGAATCATTGGACAGTCATTAACGTTAAGAAAGATAAAAAGGAAAAACATCCTCGTGCACAATGTAATTATTGTCATAAAGAATTTGAACGAGCCATCCCTGAACGAATGCAAAAACATCTTAATAAGTGTTCAGATGCACCGGATAATGCAAAATCACCAGAAATTAGACGTAATTTCGAATGCAATATAAATGAAGAGCAGAAAGAAGAACGATACGATTTGGCTAGGTGTTATGAAAACGGAGTTGATGTTGAAATGAATGAAGTTAAAGCATTTAAATTGTATAAAGAATTAGCAGAACAAGAATATAGTAAAGCACAAAATAAACTTGGTTATTTATATGAAAACGGTATAGGTATAGAAAAAGACTTAAAAGAAGCTTTTTGTTGGTATCAAAAAGCAGCAGAAAATAAAAATGAATATGCACAATATAATTTGGGATCGTGTTATGAAGATGGGATTGGTGTTAAAGAGAATAAGGTTGAAGCATTTGAATGGTATAAAAAATCAGCTGTGCAAGAATATAGTAGAGCACAAACTCAACTTGCCTCCTTTTATAAAAATGGTATAGGTACAGAAAAAGATGGTATGAAAAAGCAGCAAAAAGTGGGGATAAATACGCACAATATAATTTGGGTATGTGCTATGAAGTTGGGATTAGTATTGAAAAAGATGAAGTTAAAGCATGTAAATGGTATAAAGAATCAGCTAAACAAGGACATAAGGATGCACAGGATCAGCTTGGCTTTTTGTATAAGTATAATTTATATAGCGAGGAAGACTTATAAGAAGCTTTTATTGATATCAAAAAGTATAGAAAATGAAATTTGAATCAATTATGAGTATTTTATGTATTTTATTGTATTTTTTGATATTTAATAATTATTTTCGGGTTATTTTCGACGGGTGTTGGTGTTTTCAAATTTTAAGTTTCTTCTATTGCTGTTTACCTCAAAAATTTTCTTACATATAAGAGCTCGAAAAATGAGAAAAATTACAACTAAGGGCCCCAAATGAAATAACCACATATAGGAAAAATTATACAATCAAGGACCTAAATTTATCGTAACTATTTAGATTGAGAAATACTATATGTAATAAAACAAGTTTTTAAAATTTAAAATTATATAAATGTAATTTTCTTTTAACAGTTAAACGTATTACTTTTAATCAGTATTGATCTACTCTCTTAGCGACTTACATGTAGAAATTATAACTACTTCTGCCAATTTCTAAATTTACTCCGCGAATACAAATGACCTTCACAAAATACGATACTTGTTTATCACTAGTTATGATATAGGATAAGCTTGTTAGTTTAGAACCGAATGAACATTATGATATTAATAAATATCGTGCTTAACTCAGTCGAATTGTGTCTTGATAAAAAGAAAGTTTCGTTAAGCGAAAGGAAATAGTATAAAATGGATAAAGTACAGTGATAACGTTCAAATAACTATCATCACCAATAACGCAGAATTATTTGGGTCTTTAATTATAAAATTTTTCAAATTGTCTACTCTTATATGTAATTATTTTCACTTTGGGCCTTTATTTGTATTTATTGTTCGGGCCTTATATGTAAATTCCACAAACTTTTAAAGCAGAGTCATATGAAAGTAAATTATACATACTGAGGGGTTTCAGAATTAAAAAAAAATAGCGTATTTCGAAAATAAGTAGGAGCTTAAAAAATCTTTTTTGTATATTAAATTTTTGAAATCGGAAAATGAAATGGGAGTGTTTAGAGACTCCCATTTAACGAAATAAATAAACTTTTCAACGACAAAAATCATTATTACAAATTTATCGGAAAATGAAATAAAGTCGATACATTGCTCATTTGAAAATAAATACAATATCCATTTCTGTCAAAATTAGATTTCCGCACGTTAATTCTGAAACCCCTCAGTATAAGAATTCTGTTTTTCCCATTCTCTTCTTTATTTTATTTTATTTGTTTGTTTAAATTATTTTTTTATTTCCAATTTTATTTATTTTTTTAAATACTTTTTGAAATTGCAAGAATATATATTACAATAAATTACAATACAGTATACGAATTATTATACTTTGCAAATTGTTATGACCAGACATAACGCAAAAATTTGCAAAATTTCTTTAAATTTAACTATTGATTTTACGAATTGCTACTTAAAATAAAATTCTGATTTTTTACGATAGTGTAACATTCATTAGTATTTTATAATTATATAAAAGGTTTAGCTTATTCACTTAAATCTTTACAAACTTTGAGCGAAAGTATCTCAATAATGTCTTGTCCATTTTGATATTTAAATTATTTTCAGATTATACGAGAATTCAAAATGATTCTATACATCGAAAGCCTAGGCTAATATTGAGAAATTTTCGCTTAAAGTTTGAAAAAATATATATATGTTGCTTTGGAATTTCTTTAATTTTTGGATTATTGTTAGTAGGATAATTTTCCGGAATTGGTTGATCACATGAATTGAATAACAAGTTATGATTGGCCAACTAATCAAATTACATTATAGTAAACATCGCTTTTCACTTTAACAAAAATCTTTTTTAAATACCTATCTCACCATTTATACTCAACTAAAATAATGTTTAAAGATCTATTGTTTATTATACACAGAGCACGTTATGATAAGACTCGTTAGAACCTATATACATATAAAAAGTTTTAGACACTCATATTATAACTTATGTATTAATGTTCTTTATGTTTTAAAACTTTTTTATCATGGTTTATAAATCGGTTTACCAATTTCTAAAAAAATTGTACCATTAGTTTCTTTCAATAACCCAGCTATATTTAACGGTCTAGTAATTACATATAATTCTATAGTTACAATATACATAGAAATTTCACCTTCTAAGTAAGGTATCTCTAGGTGTGGGATTATTTGGGGGTTATTTTTGCATAGTAACTGTTAGTACTTCTTCGAAGATAGAGACGGATTTAATTTTTATTTTTTTTTACTTATGGAATATTACACAGGTAGAAAAATAAGCTTTTTTCGCAAGTATTCTTTCAAAAATATTGGTGCGATATACAACTTTTCCAAATATTTTCTTTATTATCGAAATTCTTTCCGTATCTCTTTCACATGTAATATA